CCCGCCTGTCGATAATGTCCCGTACCAGTTACCGACAAGGGGTCCACCTGCAAAGCGCTAGCGATTCCGTGGTTGACCCCCCATGCGAAACAGACCCCCTACTCGCGTCACGTCGACTCCTTGACTTCGGTTGTCCAGTCTCGCGGAAATAACGATACGTTCGTATGGAAAAAGGAGCGACAAATGCCACCGGTATATCGTCACCCTGTCGTGGGGCGCAGAACGTTGAGTCGCAGCTAGCACGGTTCGCCCCTGGTGGCCTCGCCGTGTGTGGGAACCTCCGATCTCGCGATTTTCCTTCGTCGTTCGAACATAACCTCTTGAGAGTTCACCGAATAGCCGATAGGCATATGCGTATCTGTCACGGCTACCGAAAGTGCGCGCGGGCTTAATTTTTACAAAAGCGCTGCCCGTGCACCCCGTGTGCTACCTTCTGCTCGATAAACAATATACCATCGTGTACGCGCCAACGGGTCGACGAGTGGTCTCCCTGTACAATGCCATCTTATGACATTTTCGAGTTCGACCGTTGTTGTTGAGTGCTTAAGTGCTCGTTATACACACGTCGCGTCAAGCTTTTGTGTCGCAGCAACTGTTTTTTCGGGCGTTGGTTGAGTATGTCCGGGGAGCCAAGTCCGCGTGAGCCTTGTTCTTTGCGAGCGAGAATCGAAAATTAATAACGGACCAAGTATACCCAGTAGCTGTACTACAACTTCCGTTAATGAAATTGTACATGCATATCTATATCATATTGTCACGACGGAGTTAATGTTCGCACGATCAATAGAACAAATGCAGCGAACAACAGGGTCAACCTTCCCAATCAACGACATCTACGGTGAAAGGAAGATCATACGACAAAATTTGTAAGTTTTCCATTCATTGATATTTCTGATAGTTCCTCGACAAGTACGCGTTGATGAATAATCTTATCGACGTAATGAACAATCCAGACGACTGTAACGAAGATTGACCAATGATCGATAACGTAGCTTTTTGCCGATGTGTAAGTTTAAGTTTAAGGGACCGAGAGAGAGAGAGAAAAGAGCGCGAAAAAGAAAGTCTCGGTCAGTAGGTAGAAAGCTGGTTGTCACGGATAAACATTTTCTATCGTCTTCGAGCGATTTACTTCTGGAGGTCAAGCTCGCCCACGCAACCGGCTTTTCTCCAGGGGCGTATCCACGGGGCGTGTTCACAAAGCGGTAGGGTGTACCAGAGGCGGAGTCGTTTCCCCACCGTTGCCAACGCGCGATTTTTGCTCTCGGCCACGAACGTACACGCGTTCTCCGCCGTATATATACACGTAAGTGGTTGGTTTCTGGGTCGTGTGAGTAACACCGTGACGTCCCACGTTCGGACACGGGTCACAGACAGTAGGCTTTGCCGAGTTTTCTTCGGTCGATCGCCGGCTAAACGATTTCTTATGCCGCGACATTGAACACTGCGATGTCGAGAATCGAACAAAACCACGCTTCGTCTTTTTCTTCATTTATTTTCTGTCTTCTCTCTCGACAGAGTGCGCTTCAACGAAGAACAAATCTCGCGAGTGCACCGAGCGACAACGATACTTTCACTCGACCATCGTCAGGTGTTTCTCAACTCCTTGCCTTACGATGTTTTTTTACTAGCCACCTCAGTGAGCCTTATTCCACGCTATGACACCGTGTCAAACGCAAAATATCGAAACGTTACGAAGAATCGAAGCTAAAATCGTAGATAGTCTCTCTTTCCTCTTTGTGCGTACCCGACTCCTTCACAGCTGTTAACTAGTTCATGCGCCATGTTTTCATCAAGTTTATTCATTCTTTACCGAGGATTATTCTCTGCAAGTGGAAATCGCATAAGTTACTTACATATTTGTTTGCTACGAATCCATGGAAATACGTGCTTAGCAAAAGCGCGATCGAATTCTCTTATTGAAAAAGTATTTGACGAGTCTTTTGAGTTGGGCGATAGAAGAAACGGCAGACTATGGAAGAAACCGGAGGAAGCTTCGCTCGTGTTTACAATGTTTAGCTTCCACTATAGCTGCGCTATTTAGTTATCGCGATGGGAAAGTTTATCCACGATATGGTATGATATCATCGAGCCTTGCGTCGTCCTTTCGATCGATATCAGGATTTAATAATGCATCGAGGAAATATCCATTTCAGGTGGCGCGATCGGCTGCACATAGATACATCTTACATACGGTGAACGAGGGAATATCGCAAATTCCCTGACGGCACGGATGGCAAAGGCATTCTGGCGTAGCAATTACCTGCAGGGCGAGGGAGTCAAGTAGCAATATCTGGACCCGTTATCCAGTTCGGTTATCCCGACTGGAATGCTTTGTGTCGCCGGCAATCTGCATTTCTACCTGTTTGAATGGAAGTCTATGAGATCCGCGGCATGATTTCAAATGAAATCGACTCTTTGTCCCCTGGCCGGAAATTTCCAATTCAATAACGCGCCCAGGGAAACGCTGCAGAAACGACCGATTGATTGATACTCGGAATTGGATGGAACGCGAAAGGATGGAAAAAGTTTTACTGCCGATCGATCGTCATTCGAGAAATTTGAATGTCTTACATGTAACCAAGAGCTAATCCTGAATCGATTCGTTGGATCTTATTAAAGTTATTATTCAACTTCGTACACGTACATATTACACGTTACGAATACTACGTATCGGGAAACGTTGATAGAATATTTAAAATCGTGATGAATTTTAAGCCTGATGAACGTCTGAACGTGCATTGTATTTTAGCAACTGTAGGCGTATCGCTTCCTTTAGTTGGCTTTGGGAGATTTTCTTCCATTGGAACCTATGAATGACTAGTCAAGAACTTGCCCGGCAACCCTTTGCAATGCATTAGAATTTCGCAGCTATCAAGGGAGGAAGGCGACATTAGCATCGAGGCTAAGGACACCCTTGCTTCGCGTTCGCGTCTTATGTTTTCGTCGGCCCGGTATTCATGAACGGGGTTCTGACGTGGGGCATTCGACTTCCTTCTCCTTCATGAATTTACAATCGACCGAAGGAAATGCGCAGACGAAGCTTGCGCGTGCCATTCCCCGAGAAGCAGTGCTAAACACCAGAAGCTTCGATGCTCATTCCATCGCTTTAGGTATGAGTTACAAGATTTGTCATAACGTATACTTAACGAACAATGGGATAGAAACTTTTATTCTTCTTCGAGGAATTATCACATATCGAGTCTCTTCGTAGTTGCACATACATAAGTACCTCTATAGATCGCACAATAGTTGTCAGAAATGACTAAAAAGGTTCTGCTAATCGTATGAAGCTACGGCAACAAATCCATGGTCCAGCTAATAAGAACGCTAGTGTCGAAGGACGAGGGAAAGAGAGAAGTAATAACGAGGAAGATAGAGATTGGAGGTTTAGTGGGCGAGGGTGAATGTGGTGAGGGAAAGCGGATGGAGGCTGGAGCCACGTGCTGCTGTCACTGGCACAGATTATATTATATAGGAATGGCAGCGAATAGGTGTAGATATAAGCGTCGAGCGGCAGTTAATAAATATGATAATGGCGGGCGAAGTGAGAGAAAGAGAGGGGTGTGTGGGGTGCGATATGGGATACCAGTGTATAAGAGTGACCACCAGAAGCAGAGGCCTGTCACCGTCAGGACCTCTCGTATGTCATGCGACGCACGCACCTATACATACATGCACATACAAAGTGGCGACACGCGCGCGATGACAGCATCGAGCGTGGAACGCGTGCTACTATCTTTTTCTTCCATTTTTCTCTCCTTTGCCGTGATATAATTGTTGACGCGATTACTCGATTCCAATGAGAGCTATTTAAATAAAAAAGCTGGCTGTCTTCCTTAAATTTGTCGACTTTTTTATTTTTAGCAACTGTTTTAGTTTGCGTTTCTACGACACCTATCTAATCGTCTCAACAAAAGCATTCGATGCAATTATTACGCGATTAACAGAACATATATTCTCCTTCGCTTTAGATCTCTCCGAAGAACTACAAATTGCACCACGGGAGATCGCACGACCTAGGAAATACATGGAAACGCAAAATCGTTGAAGGGTCATCGTCGTCAGTGGTGGCAGTAATTCGCGAAATTTCATAATATCACGACGAACCGTTGGAGCAAGAAAGGAAAAAAAGAGCGAAGAATACGGCCGGTTTCCCCTCGGCTTTCATTAATCTCACTTCCTCCGCGGAAGTCGGAAACAGTTTTCTACTGTGCAACCTTTCCCTTTTGACCCGGTAAATTGCGCGCGCGCGCGCGCGCGGGCGTACGCACGCCAGCCACGTCGTGTACCTGTATCCGCTCTTCCAGGAGCAATTAGTCACGGTGCTCTTGATAAATCGCCGGAATCCTACCCCCGTGGGGTTAAGTCTGGGCTGTAGACCCTCGGCAAATATCCAATAACAGCCGTCCGACTCCTGGCGGTCGCTTCGCCTCTCTACGTGTATAACCGGGTATTAACCTTCACCTATCGAGGAGATCGGCTTACCTTAATAATCGTAGAGCTACACCGTCGCAGTCTAAGGGGGTTACGACGTTACGAGGCCAGGAACACGCGGCGCTGGCTCGCGCAAGGGTGTTTCCATGGCACTAGTCGCAAAGCTGGTTCGTTCCGCACCATGAGAAACAGGTACGATCAAAAATCGTCGGAGATGTAATGAAACATTCTTAGCCTCTTCTCTCTTGGATAGAACGTTGGATAGGAGGAGTGCGGGATCGTTCGTTGGATTTGATCGGGCCGTTGATTGCTCCATGTGCAGCAGTAATTGGTCGAGTTTCTGAGAATTATATAGATATCTTTCCCGTTTCTTAATTTTACGATGCGCGATGGATGCCGCGATGAGTCGATAACGATGGAAAATGATATAGGTTTCTTAGAGGCGAATCGGACTACGAAGTATTTGCTACGAAGCGTCTTTAGAAATTCTGCAAATTCTTAGAATCGTATTCATACGTTTTCCCTAAGTTTGTGCCTTCTTATTTGCACGAGGGATGTTAAAAAATAGACCGAGTCGGATAATACAAAGGAAACAGCCGCCTCGGCATTCTGATGACTTGCCGAATCTCGACGATCGGCGCTTTCGGACTCGTGTCAATCCGTGCCCCATTCAGATGTATTCGATTCTTTGTCCAACCCCTCGGAGGTTAACAAGAAGAGGGGGGAGGGAGAGGAAAGAAAGAGAAACGCAAAGAAGATGGAATAGGATAGGATAGGATAGGATCGACGCACGTTTCGGCGTATTCCACGTAACATGCTCGTTCCTTTGAATAAGTATCGTTTTATTAATATCTCTGTCGTTATTTACAAAACTTTGTAATAATCTCTAATTTTCTTCACCGTCACACGCTACTCGCTATTCGTCAATCGTTATACTTTTACGCTTTTGTGTACCTGTGTACGTATGTACCGTGTAATCAGTGTGTACATGTATGCGTTGGTTGTGTGTGTGTGTGCGCGTGTGTGTGTATGCGTGTTATATTAATGTCGATAATGCTCGAGTTTGCTAAATCGTTTACAGTAGAACGTGAATGTTCCTTACCGGCGTCGTCGTCGAAATCCACCGCTTTTCAACTTTGGAGCCGACTTCTACCACTTCTTTTTTATAATTCTTTCTCGCGTCGTCTTCGTCGCGTATGCGCCTAAACACCAGCATACCACACATTATATTTACACCATCGGATTCACACCTGTGACCTCGTTATCACAGCGCGCACGCCGCCTTTTTTCTCTCTCTCTCTCTCTCTCGCGCGCTCTCTCTCTCGCTCTCTCTCTCTCTCTCTCGCTCTTCTTTTTACATTCGGCACGTTTTGTTTTCGTCTTCATCGTCGTTGTCGACCGTGGAAAATCGATTCTCTCTTCCGCACAAGCAAACCGCGTCACAATTTCGCGACGGATGCGAGAAATACGCCGTAATATACATCTCTAACTATGTACACGCGTGTCTCCAGCTCGACGTATCCGCCTGAAACACGCTCGCGACACGGTTTCATCGTTTCCATGCGAAGAGAAAGAAAGGAAACGTTGGATCCGAGTCGTTCAATTGAACAAACCACGCGCTTGGTCGATTAATCTGTTTCGACTCTTACGACTCTAATGTAAGTCATGCTCGTGCTCTTTCACCTCCGTCTTTTTCGACTCTGCCGCTCGGAATCGTGAAAATTGAAAGAATACTATTTCACTACGTGATTCGCGGATGTACCTCCGACTGGCAGCCGATTGGTCGATCTTTTACCGCTCATCCTTTTCACCACGAATAGATTCTGTTCTGAACTGAGTCATTCGCTCATAGAATCCAGGAAATCGTGGTTCACGTTTCAAAGAAAATCGCGGCTAGATGTATTTATGCGAAGGATTGTAAGAGAACGAGTTCGTGGCTTGTCGTTAGATTCAGATAATAAGTATTCTTTGTCGTCGTTTTCTGGCTATAAATTGTTCCTTGTTCTGTAATTAGGATGTACGACGAAGTAAGGTTTTCGACAAGTTCCTTGGGATATTCGAAACTCGATGGCAACAAATTTATAAATCTGTAAAACTTGTAGTTTCTGTAGCTTGGATTTTCACGTTTGTGAAAATTTTAGATTCGTTCGAGCGCAATAGGTGATTCGAATCGTTAATTTTGATCTTGAATCAAATTATTTGACAGAGAGCATTTATAAATTATTCAAGATAGATACGTAATTGATAAAATACGAAAGAAACCCTGCTAAATTGTACAAATGTATATACAATTTTGTTTCTATTTGTTGCTTTCAGGTTTACCTCACTGTCGCGTATTCCAAATGGACGATTCTTTGCTCTTAGGTTTCCAGATTTATTGGTAACCAATGTATCCTAGAACCAGTGTCGATCGAATGGCTCAATTCTATAATTTGTCGTGGAAGATACTCGACCTATCAGAAATTCATAGTATCTCGTTAAGCAGTCACCGATTCCTAATATGATTCACTGGCTTCCTTCCCTCAAATTATAATTGTTCGAAGTTAATTTATAATCGCGTCCAAATTTGCTGAAAATTTCTATTCCGTCCATTTCAAATCTTTACGTAAAAAAAAATTTGCCACATAATGTGCCTTATCTTTTCTTGTTTACAAGAAGATGCACGAATTAATTTGGATATATTTTTGCACAAAGTGATTTTCTCTCTGGCCCATTAGAATAAAATAACCGGAATAATTGAAAATTTCAAGCCAACGTTCGACCGTTCGTAACTGGTCCACATCGAGCAGTTCCCATCCACCGGAAATCCGAATCCTCCTCGATGATAGATACGTGTTGTTGCAACGCAACAGTGTTGCGAGAGTGCGTCTCCGATGACACACGCAATGCACACAACCGGTGTACGGTTTCTCGCAATTGGAATCGACGCGTTTCGAGTGTACTGGCCAGATTATCCGCGCTTCTGCAATCTGCTTCGACGTTTCGCTTGCACATCCACCGACGTTGCCTCTTTGGTCGTACATAAAAGCAAATTTGTTAACAAACTTTCTGGTATTAAAATTCATTTCTCTGTTTCGTCCATTCGAGTGACTCTGGAACCCTCGGTATTCTTAATTTAGAAAATAATTTTGTTAAGGATGTTAGCCTTCGTGTAATTGAAATTCAATTGGAATTGGATGTTTAAAATAGAAATTCTCTTTAAGTTAAAACTATTATTTTATATGAATTGATGAACGTAGAATAAGATTTTTATTTATTCGCAGGGATTCGCAAAAAAGGTCGAAGTTAAGTTCAGATTAGCACCGACATCCTCAACATCGAATTATTATTCTGATTACTCCTAGTCTTTGTCTTATACGTGGTTAGCCTGTGAGAACAAGTAGATGATGGAATAGCAAGTAGTCTAACGCGTTTTCCAGCGGTACTCGTTGTCAAGATTTCATTTCCCGATAAACAAGTAAGGTTCTCGCAAGTTTCACGCTCGTTTCTGTTCTTGCAGATATCAAATTTCGTTTGCAACGTGGAATCAAATCGAATACGCCTCGAAATTTGGATGTTCTTCAAATTTGGAAGGACCGTTTCCGTAAGACAGATGTTCGAACTCAACGGGAAACAAAACTGTTGTCTCTATAATAATTGTCAAAACGAATGAGAAAACCGACATAAGTACTTTGTATCTAAGAAACTTATTCGTATTTCCAAATTTTTCAGATCCATCGAGATCCAACTTCTTCAAAGCCTCCATTGATCCAGACGTGCAACCGATACTTAAGCGATTCGCACATTTCAGACCCTATACAAGAGAGGGACATTCACGTTGATCACTGACTCCAATTATAACCGTCCTGCGGTTCACGCAGTATTTTCTCGTCTTACATGTCTCTCGAACGACCAGTCCATCTTTGTCCGTTCGACAAATTGGTAAACGTGTCTGCGTCTCCTAACAAGCAGACGTATTCGTCTCGATAAATCAATTTCACCGAGTCTTTTTCCAGTGTCTGCGATGAGTATTCGTCACTAAGGAAAGACAGTCTCCCCTAGATCAGTCTCGTCGTTCGATTCCAATGATCCAGGCCAGGTAAGCTGTTCTAGAAACGACTCACACAGATCGGAGTACGCGACACAGGACTCTTTCTAGGGGCTGTCTTCCATAGGATACCAGGCAGCTGGACCTGCGACGGAGGGATTAGCCCCCGCCGCGGATGGCATGTACTACCAAGCCCGTCCTTGGAATGGCAGGTACGCACCGCACTGCGGTTGCTGTTGCTGCTGCATGCTCTGCTGGGTACCAGTTCTCGGGTACGAGCAATGCTGAAGACTCTGGCTGGACGTTATCACGTGGTTCACACCGACCACCGAGTGATGAGGCACCGAGGAGGCCGCGTGATGGGAACCGTGAGGGC